AGAAAGGAAGAAGGACCACAGATCAATGATGGAAGCTTGCAGGGTAATATTCTTGAAAAAGAGCAAATTGGACCCAGGGCTGACAGAGGAAATAAAATTATAAAGAGAACAGACGATGCCAATGAAAAAACAAATGACACTCAGAGATAGTTCTTTATAAAAAAATCAATGAGTGATAAACCACTACCTTGTCTCGTCGAGATAAAAGGAAAATTAACAGTATTGTGTGTGAAAAAAAGGGATGTCACTCTAGATGTTACAGACATTTGAAGACTAACGAGGGGATTTTACACACAAATGTGGCCAAAAACTTGATCTGGGCAGGAAAACCACAACAGTGGGCCAAACCTGGTGCCACCTGTTTGGATAAATAAAGTTTTATTGGAGCACAGCTTCTGCCATTATTTCTGTATCTGCCTGCTTTTGTGCCATGGTATCAGGTTTGACTAGTTGCATGAGAAACCCTAAAATATTTAATATCTATCTGTCCCTTTATAGGGAAAAATTGCCAACTCTCAACAAAGATGAAATGGAAAAATTTTTTGAAAAATACAAATGATCAACATTGATGAAAAAGAAATGGGAAAGTCTGAATGCCCTAATATCTATTCAGTAAATTAAACTAAAATAATAGTTAAAAGTTCCACAAGATAAATTCCAGGCCAAGATGACATTGCTGGTGGAATCTATGAAAAATATTTAAGAGAGGGACTGGTGCCTACAATGCTGGCATCCCATGAGGGCCTTCAACTCCTGGCTGCTCTATTTCCCATCCAGCTTCCTGCTAGTGCACCTGTAACTCACAGGGAAAGCAGCAGAAGATGGCCTAAGTGCATGCGTCCCTCTCATCCACCTGGTAGACCTAGATGAAGCTCCCGGCTTCTGCCTTTGGCCTAGCTCAGCCCCAGTGCTGCGGCCTTTTGGGGAGTGAACCAATAGGTGGAAGATCTCTCTCTGTCGCTCCCTCTCTGTAACTCTGCCTTTCAAATAAATAAATCTTTTTTTTTTTTAAAAAGAAATATTTAAAAGAGAAATAGCAAATCTTACATAAAATTCAGAAAATAGAAGAGGAAGAGCCATTTCCAAACTCATTTAATGCATTCAGAATTGCCCTTCATAACAAAAATAGACAATTCGAAGAAAAGAGAACTAGAAGTTGGCATTGTAACAGTGGACAGAGCCTTTGCCTGCAACGTCAGCATCCCATATGGGTACCGGTTGGAGTCCCAGCTGTACTACTTCCAGTCCCGCTCCCTGCTAATGGCCTTGGGAAAGCAGCAGAGGATGGCACAAGTGCTTGGCCCCTGCACCCCTGGGGAGACCTGAAAGAAGCTTCTGTCTCCTGACTTTGGCCCAGCACTTGCCATTGTGGCCATCTGGAGAGTGAGCCAGCAGATGGAAGATCTGTCTCTCCCTCTCTCCCTGCAAACTCTGCCTTTCAAATAAATAAGTAAATATTTTTTAAAAGAGAGAACTGCAGGTCAGTTCTCTCATAACTGTACATGCCAAAATCCCTAAAAGCTGTTATGACGTAGAGATGGCCATGCGTCCTAGCAGTGAAGGTGCCAGCTGAGAGAGCTGTGCTGCACATCAGAGCGCGTGAGTTCAGTTCCCAGTGCCAGCTCCTGACACCGGCCGCCACCAGTGTGGGCGCTGGGAGGCAGTGGTGATGGCTCACGTACTTTGGTCCTTGCCACCCATGTGGAAGACTGGAATCTACCAAGTATATGCTAGAATTAGAAGATGTATTATGCATGTTTATAGAATATAAATTCTATATAAAAATTATTGTGATGCAGTAGCAATTGTTTAAAAAGTGGAAATTAAAGTAAAAGTACCATTATAGTAATAATCAAAACATGGGATACTGAGACAATGAAACAAACATACTTAAGACCTACAGACTAAATAACACAAACAGACCTGAAAGCAGTTACATAAAACAACTAAATAAATGAAGTTATACACCATACTCATGAATTGGAGGATTGAACTTTGTTAAGACAGTTCTCTTCTTACTAACCTTTAGACTCAGTGCAAACCTAACAAAAATCCCGGCTGGAAAGCTGGTTTAAGTAGTTATACTAGAAAAACAAAGAAAAAGGCTGATTTTTTTTTAAAGTAAAAAGAATAAAGTTGGAGAATTCCTGTGAGGCCACCATGAATGAGCCAGTGAGAACGGACATGGTATTGTGAGCGGAACAGGAGGTGCCGAGCCACGTCCACCCTGCACACTTGGTCCTCCCAGTGCTCATGGCTGGAAGGTCTGGATGTACACGTGGGTATTAACGAAGGGAAGGGAATCGCAGTCCCTGACTCAGGTCGTACCTCAGATTCACTGGAGACGAAGTATTGTGACCACGTGACACGCAAGGCCAGAAGTGTCCACTGCCCTTAACAGACAGGCTGCTGACCACTGATCTAGAAGAAACCTAGAAGACTTAGGAGAAATAAGGAAATATTTCCTAGACAAGACACAAAAGGCCCTCACCATAAAGGAAAAAGGTAAATATGTTCATGGATTTCATTAAAATTTAAAAAATTTGTTGTTCAAAAGACACCTTTAAGAAGATGAAACGGCAAGGGTATAACTGGGGGAACCTGCACTGTGTGCACCTGATGGAGAGCTTGTGCTCGCGATGTGTGGTGCTGGTTCAACGCAGTAGCAACAAGACACGCAGTCAGATTTAGATGTGGCCAAAAACGAGGACAGGTGCTTCCCAAAGAGAAATGGCCAAGGACTCGTGGGAGAGGATCAGCATTGTTAGTGACAGTAACAATGCTATGTGACTACAAACCCAATAGAATGGCTATTCCAAATGTTGTCGGGGTGTGCAGCAGCAGGAGCACCCATGCACTGACAGTGGGGATTTAAACTGGTCAAGGGGTGGACTTACTGCACAGTGGGTTAGGCCGCCACTTGTAAGGCCAGCATCCCATTTCCGGGTGCTAGTTTGAGTCCTGGCTGCTCTACTTTCAATACAGCACCTTGCTAATGTTCCTGAAAAGGTAGCAGATGATGGCCCAAATGCTTGTTTCCCTGCCACCCACATGGGAGATCCAGATGGGTTCCTGGCTTCTGGTTTCTACCTGGTCCAGCTCTAGCCATTGTGGCCATTTATGGAAGATCTGTCCCTATTTCTGTGCCTTTCAAATAAATAAATCTTTAAAAATAAGATGGTTGAACAATTTTAGGTTTTGAGTCCAAGCTCTGCCCCGAATTCCAGAGCTTCTTGGCAATACACACCCTGGGGGGCAGCAGGTGATGGCTCAAGCTTGTGGATCCCTGCCACTCATGTGGGGGACCTGGATTAAGTTCCAGGCTCCTGGCTCTGGCCTGGTGCTGCCCTGGCTATTGGAGGCATTTGAATAGTGAAACTCAGGGCCAATGCTGTGGCATAGTGGGTAAAGCCGCCACCTGCAGTGCCGGCATCCTATATGGGCACCGGTTCTAGTCCCGGCTACTCCACTTCTGATCCAGCTCTCTGCTACAGCCTGGGAAAGCAGTGGAAGATGGCCCATGTCCTTGGGCCTCTGCACCCATGTGGGAGACCCAGAGGAAGCTCCTGGCTCCTGGCTTCCGATTGGTGCAGCTCTAGCTGTTGTGGCCAATTGGGGAGTGAACCAGTGGATGGAAAACCTCTCTCTCTCTCTCTCTGCCTCTCCTTCTTTCTGTGTAACTCTGACTTTCAAATAAATAAATAAATCTTAAAAAAAGAGTGAATCTGTAAGTGGAAGATCTGTCTTTCAAATGAAAAAAAAAAAGTAGGCTTTCTTTAAAAAAAATGAAAATGCATGACAGTGTGGATGGATCCCAGAAACCTTGTGGTGAATGAGGAAAGCACGGTGCTTACACGCATGCCCTACACAATTCAGTTCCTGAGCTTCTTCCCAAAGCCAACTATTCTGTGGGACAGTATGGCAGTGGGCACCTGGAGCTGGGCTATAGGTTGGGTGGGAGTGCCTTCAGAGGACCAGCAGGACCAGTTCCTGCTGGAAGATTGGACGTGGCTTAGCTGGGGAGTTGGGTGCATGGACGTTGTCCAAATGTGTTGAACTGTGCTTATCTCGTAGAACATATTTTACAGTGCTGTGTGTCCTCCTTATGGTAGGCAACCTCCACAGTACTGCTTTGTAAGTGTCCTTGCGATGGATTCGTCTTGTGAGCGTCGCCTGGCCCCCTTTGTTCCTGCACCTGGTGACTTGGGGGAGGGAGGCCTATGGCAGCCTCCCTCCTGGTCAGGGATGCTCGGCTCCTATCCCTGGCTTCATGGCCACCGTGTGGGATGACACCTTCTTACTCATGCTGTCCCCAGATGCAGAACTCCACAGTACACGTTCCGGGTCTTGCCGAGAGAATCTCTGCTTGAACCTCTGCCATGCCCCATTGGCACCGTGCTCCGAAGACACAGAAATGGTTCTTTTTCCCTGTTGTCTCCAAACAAAAGCCTGTGGGCATTAGGACAGTAGTTTGGGCTCTTCTGTCACGGTGGCTGAACCCGTATTTGTGAAGTCCCTGCCTGCTCTGCGTCCGGCATTCTGGATACTCCACAGCTCCCAGACCTGGGAGCCTACGTCCCAGATTGCACCCTGAGTGGGAGACAGGGTGTAAGCAGATAGCCGCTGCGAGACAGTGCGTGGGGGCACGAGCTGAGTGCCAGGGTGTGCTCTATGTTCTGAGGGTGAGAGGGGCTGGGAGAACTGGACAGACGTCCCCTGTCAGGAAATCGGGGACATCTGTGTGAAGGAGATGAGATTAAAGCAAGCTCCAGGCAGCCCCAGGCCCTGTCAGAGCTTTCCCTGGAACTGTCATTCTGTCTCTCCCAGGCTGTCTTCTCCAGAACCCCCAGGGAAAAGGGGGAGGAAGCTGGCTGCACTGTGCCCCCCGAGGTAGCCAGCTGAAGAGCAGTGGGCCCCTGTGGGTTGCAGAGCTAGGGTCTTGGTGGGAGCTGGGCGAGCGCTGTGTGTGTCACCTCCATTCCCACTTTCTTTCTCTGCAGCTGAGGATGCCAGGGGACAAGACCCCGAGTGCTGCAGGCCCAAGCGTGCATCTGGAGGGAAGCAGAGGAACCCTGGAGAGACAGCGTGGTCTGTGAGCGAGAGCAGCCGAGGGCACGTGTCACGTCCAGCCTTGTGCCTCCGGGACTGTCAGCTTTGTGTTGCTAACAAGTGAGATGAAACAGCTCTGAAAAGGCAAAATACAATTGCCCAAGGACATCTGCTTAACAGGAGTACCCCAGGGCCGACTTCTCCCATAAATCATCGTCGCACTGATGCTGGCCACCCTACGAGGGGACAGTTAGGGCCAGGGGGACATTTTCCGTGAACAACACGCCTCATCTTCACTCAGTTGTGGGGCCTTGGGTGGCTGAACACAGTCGCCAGTGTTCTCACCAGGGCTCACCTTGGACAGCGAGATGATCCTGAAGAGCATGGCTGTTGTCTGTCCCTGCTTCCCCAGAGCCGCCTGCGGCAGACTGAGCTCGGCGTCCACCTAGAAGCAGGTGATGGAGCAGTCCTCTCTAGTTCATCAGCGCGTCTCATTTTGTCTGGAGTTGAGCTGTGTATTGGGCTCCACAGTAGCTGCACAATCAGCTCTATAGGATGGTGGAGGGACTGTCAGGTAGTGACCGATACAGATGTGCACGCTCAGATTCTCTCTTCCTCTCTTTCCCTTTCCCTCCCGTCCTCCCTCCCTCCCTCCCTCCCTTCCTTCCTTCCTTCCTTCCTTTCAAAATCAGAGTTACACAGAGAGAGGAGAAGCAGAGGGGGGGAGAGGGGGAGGGGGAGGTCTTCCATCCACTGATTCACAACCCAATTGGCTGCAATGGCCGGGGCTGCACTGATCTGGAGCCAGGAGCTTCCTCTGGGTCTCCCACGTGGGTGCAGGGGTCCAAGGACTTGAGCCATCTTCTACTGCTTTCCCAGGCCACAGCACAGAGCTGGATTGGAAGAGGAGCAGCGGGGACTTGAATGGGCACCCATATGGGATGCCGGCACTGCAGGTGGCAGCTCTACCTGCTACGCCCAGCACCGGCCCCTGCTGATTTTCTGAGTAAAGGATAGACGAAGCTGACCTGGGTGTTCCTCTTCCTCCTGCTCTCCCCTTCTTACTGCCTGCAGTGTGGATTCCACAGCTACAGATCTGTGGGCCGTTCTGCGACAGTGGGAAGTAAGGTTTGCATCATTCGTTCATTCGTTACTGGAAAGACAGACACAGAATGGGGCCTAGCAGGCAGCTGCAGGCTGGAGATCCTGAGGCAGAGGAAAAGGAGGGGGAGGAGGACAGAGACTGTGGCACTGTGCTCCAACAGCAGGGGATATGTGTCGAGAACCCCAGGTTCTGTGTCGAGTCCACACTACTCTGCAGCTGAGGATCTGGGTGCTGCCCAGGCCATCCGAGGTGGCAGAGAATCCAGCACCCAGCCCTGGGGCTAGGAGGAGGGGCCCCTCCACAGCTGCAGGGGGGATTGCCGTTCAGGAGGCTGGCAGCGGCCGAGGTCCAGCCCCGAGTCCCGCAGGCCTCTCCTGTTTGGTTGTGTGGTGTGTGGGAACCCGTCTCCCCCAAACCTAGCCCCGGGCAGAGGCCATTCATTGTGCTTCCCAGACACAGTGGAAGGAACGTGGGTGGGAGTCGCTGCTCACGTCTGCCGAGGGAGAGGCTTCTCTCCAGACTTTTTCCTAGCGGAGGAGCTGCTGAAGTAACTCCTTGTGTCTTCCCTTCTTGTGTGAATCCCTGGTGAAACACGGGCCCCTGGAGCCGGGAGGGAGAGGGAGGAGGCCTCTGTGGGCATCACTGCGGTCACTGTCAGGGGGTCCTGACCTCTAGCTCCTCCTGCAGGTACCTGCATCAGAGACTGGGGATGCCTCCGTGACTGGGCGTCGGCCACCTGTACAACCTGATGTCCCAGAAGAAGCCCTCCCCGGCAGGTGAGCCCCGCACGGGTGCTTGGGAGGAGGTGTGCATCAAAGCTGTGTGTTCACAGGGTGGCGGTGTTGCCTGCGGGGGGCACCGTCCTGCACATGAAGAGCTGCTGCAGGAGAAGGTGCCACTTTGCATCACCTCAGCTCGTGGCAGGCGGGTGTGCAGACAGGCGAGCGGAGGACTGCCTGGGAGTCTCCTAGAAACGCACTCAGTCCAGAAGTGTGGCGAAATGATGGCTTTGTCTTCTGCCCGGAGCAGACCTAGGGGAGCCTGGGCCCCGATACAGCCCTGACATCCGCCCCCAGAACCCACTGCGCCTGGGGCTGCAGCACACGGCTGTGCTCTGGGTCTGGGGCACAGCAGATGCTTTGTTGGGGGGAAGAATGGCAGCCCTGTGAGGCTCGCTGGTGACAGCCGTGTCTGCCCGAGAGCCACTTCGGCCAGGACGGGCGTCCAGTTTGATGGATGGGGTCCCTGCATGAGCCGTGCACCCCAGGGCTGGACGGGGGCCCTCCGGGGTCACAGGCGATCGCTCTGCCCAGAGGCATCTCTGCCCCGCTGAGGCTCACCGCTGGCTGGGCTGTCTCAGCAGGGGTCTCTGCCAGCCTGTAACGGGTTAGACGCAGGGATGGTTTTCAGGGGTGGCCTTGTTTCCTGGACAGCGTCTCTGTAGCAGTGGTCATGGCAGCTGGGTGGGGACACAGTGGTGACTCTGCATCTAAGAGCTCCGTTTCAGATGCATTGCCTGCGGCACTGGGCTGGGGGACAGTTCTACAGGAGCTTCTGCCTACCCATGGACAAGTGTGACAAATCGTCCTGATGAGGCCGCCATCGCAATGGGCGCTTTGATCTGCTCTTTGCTGGCACTTCCAGGCCTTCAAAAGGGCCCCTCCTGCCCACTCCTGGCCCCCAGCCCAGCTCCCTGTGGTTGTCTGTGGAGGCCACAGGCCTGGAGGCCCGTAGAGCCTGCCACAGAGGGGCCACGCCCTGGGGGTGTGCATATCAGACTCTGAGCAGGAGGCTACCTGAGGCTGAGGTTTTACCTCTGTACCTGAAGAAATAAAGAAGCAAAGTGCTGGGAAGATGTGGTCACCCTCCAGGATTCCTTATTTTAAATTTATACAAACAATTTGTTTATGGTCCCTTTTTTTGAAAAGCACAGAGAAATACAGGCAGAATTTCCATTCACTGGTTCTCTCCCCCACATGCCTGCAAGAGCTGGGGCTGGCCCAGACCAAATCCAGGAGCCAGGGCGTGCATCTGGGTCTCTACATGGGCAGCAGGGCTCCATGTACTTGAGCCATCGTCTTCAGTCTTCCCAGAGAGCCGGATCGAGCAGAGGAGCAGGGACTCAAACTTAGGCACCCGAGATGGGAGGCAGGCATCCCAAGCAGCATCTTGAGCGCTGCGTCAAGGGCGTGCCCCACACGCTGCGATTCTAAGGAGAGACCTGGAAGGTGGGAGGGGAGGCTTGGTTCACATGACTTCCTCTGCAGAGAGATCTTGACACTGAAGCATCCATAGAACTGGCAGTCTAACCACGTGGCTGATGCCACTCTGATAAGGAAGCGGGTGAGGCCAGGACCTCATGTGGCCACACGTCCCACCTGTCTGACGGTAGCACCAGGAGATGGGCAGCACTCAAAAGCAGATGTGCCAGGGATCTCTGGAGGAGATGTGTGTGACACATGCATGTATGGATGGTACATGTATGTAAGTGTGTACCTGCCCGTGTGTGTGCCTGTGGTAGGACATGTTCCATGCAGCTGGCTCCCAGAATAAGGGGCCTAGCATGTTTGAGTCTGTGGGGCAAGCTGGCAGTTGGGGACAGTTCCAAGACAGGGATTCCTCCCCAGAGAACCTCAGCATTGCCTTCAGGGCCTTGACTAGCTGGGAGCAGCCCCGCCTGGCCCGACTGTCCCCTCACTGCGTGCGGCGCATCGCAGATGTCATCCACACCGCTGGCTCCAGCGCTGGGTTTTCTGCCCCTGTCGTGTCTTCCGAGGGGATCCAGTGCTGCACCATGGTCCCGGCTGTTGGGTGGTACAGGTCAGGGTGGTGCGCCTTCCAGGGAAGCCACAGGTGGCGCGCACAGAGCCCACGGGGGCTGCTGGGCTGGAGGGCGAGTCACCGTGGGTGGCAGTGTCAGCAGTAAATGACAGCAGCATCCGTGAAGGGAAGCGCCTTTGAACAGAAGAGCACAAACAGGCTTCCTGGTGACCACCCGCCCACAGCAGGCCAGACACACTGCGTCTCCCTCGGGAGCAGGGGCTCAGTGTTCGTGACCCCTGGAAGCAGCCACCAGGCCCTGAGGGTCCACGCGGTGAATTCCAGAGCAGCTCTGGCTCTCCTGCTGGAGAGGGAGGCCTCGAGGCACACAGCAGTGATGGGGCTGGGAGCTGAGCCCATGTGCGGGTTCCACTCTGTGCCCCAACTCCGCCCCACCCCTCTGCCTGGACAGCCCTTCTCACGTGCTGCTGCCATTCACCCACGTGTCTGTTCCCCTTCCCACCTGCGCTTGTCTCTGGATCATGCTCTTTTTTTTTTTTTTAAAGAATTATTTTATTTATTTGAAGGACAGAGTTACAGAGAGAGGTAGAGCCAGAGAGAGAGAGAGTCTTCCATTCCGCTGGTTCTCTTCCCAAATGACCACAATGGCCAGAGCTGAGCTGATCCGAAGCCAGAGCCAGGAGATTCTCCCAGGTCTCCCATGTGGGTGCAGGGGGCCAAAGACTTGGGCCATCTTCTACTGCTTTCCCAGGCCATAGCAGAGAGCTGGATCAGAAGAGGAGCATCTGGGACTCAAACCAGTGCCCAAATGGGACGCCGGCACTGCAGGCTGGGGCTTTACCCTGCTACACCATAGCGCCGGCCCCACTGGATCCTGATCTTACTGTTGGTTGGGCCTTAGTTTATGCTTGCTTTGTGTCTTTCAAGGCATCTGGGAAGGAGTAGACAGTAGGAGGACGCTGAAGCAGTGGGACTGTGGAAGCTGTGCAGGCAGCTCGGGGCCTTTCTGAGGGTTCCGGGTTCCGTGCTGAGTCAGAGAGGGAGGCACAGGCACGTGGCTGAACTGGGGGGGTTGGTCAGAGCCCCAGGAGGCTGGTTATGGGTTTTAGTGTGAAGTTCCACAGTATGCTTATATTTGTACGTAACTTACTTTTCTTTGCGTGTAATTTGAGTTTTTAAAAACTACATAATTTATTTGTAAGGCAGACTTACAGAGAGGGAGGGAGAGTCAGAGAAAGAGAGAGACAAAGAAAGATCTTCCATCTGCTGGTTCACTCCCTAAATGGCCACAACGACCTGTGTTGGGCCAGGCTGAAGCCAGAAGCCTGGAACTCCATCCTGGTCTCTCACGTGGGTGGCAGGAGCCCTAGCATGTGGGCCACAGCCTGGCGCTTTCCCAGACACATCAGCAGGGAACTGGATTGAACGTGGAGTAGCCGGGACTCGAACCAGCACCCATATGGGATGCTTGTGTCACAGGCACCACAACGCCAGCCCCTACAACCTAAGTTTTAGCAGTCACTTTCCTTCTTTCCTTTTCTGTTCTTCTGAATTACACAAACCAGACTAAATACAGCAAGACGTGGCGCTTTGCAAGCATTTGCCTGCACTGTGAGTGCGGCCCCGTGCCGAGGGCCTGCCTCTGAGGGTGTCACTGTGTTGAGCGTGCCCATGGGAACACTGCTTTGCTGGAGCTGTGCTGATATTTCAGAGGCGGGGAATGGATGGCCTACTTCAGGAGAGGCCGACGACCAGGACTTAGTGATTGCAAAGGAAGTGTGAGGAGGCTGCGTACGATTCCAGAGGACAGCACTGTGGTTTCTTTGAGGTGGATGGAACTTTTCCCAGTTGTCCGGTGCACAGCCCGAGCATCTGACAGGTAGACCCCAGGTGGCGTCCGTACCTACACTCTGTTTTTTAGCACTGAAGGGGAAATCCTGAAGTGGGAGATGGCGTCAGATTGTCCCATCACGAAAAGGACAAAGGCTAACTGTTTTCCTTGCTCAGCAAAACTGTCAACCAGAGTGAAGGTATTTCTTTCTTTTTTTTTTTTTTTTTAAGATTCACTTATTTATTTGAAAGTCAGTTACACACACACACACACAGAGAGAGAGGTCTTTCATCCGCTGATTCACTCCCCAACTGGCCGCAACAGCTGGAGCTGCACCAATCTGAAGCCAGGAGCCAGGAGCTTCTTCCCAGTCTCCCTTGCAGGTGCAGGAGCCGAAGGACTTGGGCCATCTTCTACTGCTTTCCCAGGCCATAGCAGAGAGCTGGATCAGAAGAGGAGCAGCCAGTGCTAGAACCGGCGCCCATATGGGATGCAGCCACACAGGCCAGGGCGTTAACCCCACTGCGCCACAGCGCTGGCCCCGCGACTGTATTTCTAATTCCCACAACACACGCCTAAGGTATTGATGTTGGTGTTAAAGTGAAAAGGTCGCATGCTAGAGTCTCCAAAGTGCTAAGAGCACTGGTGTGAGGTCAGGAACCAGGCAGAGAAACAAGCTTGCCACGGCCGCAGCCCGTTCAGGGTGCCACGCCCAGCCCTTGGTGAACACGGGTGAGGACTTCAGAAACCTTGTCTCCTGGCAGAGGGGCGGAGTATCTGCTGATTCCACCGTCAGCGGCCCGGGACTCAGGGCTGAGGGTGGGACTCCCAGCTGTGGTGGGCACTTGTCCTTCCCGCTGACTGCTGAAACCAGCGTGCACATGGCGCCAGGAGGGCCGCGTGCCCGGCCGTGCTTTCCTCCACGGGATTTCTTTTCTGTTCTCCGTGGCTTTGAGTGGCTCCCAGTGCTGCACGAGCGTGGGGCGCAGACCCCCCCGGAGGCTCTGCTCCATGGCTGCAGCCTGGCCGGAGAGGAAATACCAGAAACCGCGAGGGAACCTCTCTGCCCACGCCGCCGGGGACCCCAGGAGCCGTTCTCGCAAGTTCCAACGCAGAAGAGGACGCCTCCCGTGCTTGCCAGCATGGTGAGGATGTGCTTCCAAA